CAAGTGTTTAAGGCTCTTAAAGTGGGTTTGCGCGACGATCCTTCTCAATTTTCTCTCATCCCTCGCAGTCGTTGCTCGTTTACGTCCACATTTCTGGCGTTTATTAGTTAAAACTTGAACACTTGTTGTTTCAGTACTCTAGAGACTGTTGTCTGCGAGCATTTTACATAATTTGCAATTTATTTTTGTTTTTCTTACTTTGTACAAGGCTATGCTAATATCTTTAGTTCTGTCACTGGTGTCGCGCTTACGCTCCACGTTATACTGTTATATTGCTCTGTTTGAAATTTGCATTACAATATAGTTTTTTATGGATGTCTAATTTTTTGTCATTGTCTGATTAACGGGTATAATAAATATACATAGACATTGTTTATGTAGGGTCAAAAAAAAAGCTTCGTACTCTGTGTTATTCATGAGAAAATGTACAGTAAACTTTCAGTTAGGTGAATATTCTAATTTTTTGTCTAAGAGTTGTACTATCAAATAATAATTATACGTTTTTACAAAATGAGTGCAAAAACCCTCAAGTGATCCATACAGGGGTGAACGAGTGCGATTTGCGACCCGTTCCATCTAGTTCTCCGACTTGAAACTGGTACCGATGTGTTCCTTTCATCACAAACCTTTTGCTAATTTAATTTTAAAAGGATGTATAATCGATGGACCCCCTAGAGGTAACCGAAAAGTGCCCCAAGCTTAACATTGTCCTTTTCTATTTAAAGAATTTAGGGTAACTTTATTGTTCTGCACTACTTTGATGGCTTGCAGATGTTTTAACTCTTATTACCCTGTGGGCACTAGAGTATCAGGGGCATTTTTTTTAATAAACTGAATGTTTAGAACAGAAAAGATTCAAGATTAATCGAACACACCTCAAAACTACACGGGATTTGATGATAATTTAATGTTTTTTGCGAGTCTTCGATCAATCGGGGTGATCAGATTCATTGTCGAAGGAATTGCTAGATTCATCTGGCAATTATATTCAACTATTAAGCATTCATCTTTTATTTTTTTTGTTTGAGAAATTGTTTTGTATTGTACGTTACGCTAATGCATGCTGTTCTCGATTTTCTCCAGTTCGAATCACATATATGCACTATCATTATCTACCAAACCATTCAGATTTAACAACGGGTAATAAAGGCCTAATAGTTTCCGTGTTAGATCCTCATACAGAGAAATACTGTACACGCCGTTCTGATAGACAAATTCGTCTTATTTTGAAATTTAACTTCGTTCTATTGAAAATTCAACATCGTTTCTTAACGACTTACCGGCATAAAGCGGCCATCTTTCTTTTGTTACGAGAAGCCATTAACGAATAGGTCTAAATACTAAAACAAAAGAAAATAACTAAAGGTTACAAGTAACATTAAGGACAAAGAATTAACTGAATGTATAAAGAAAGACAAGAGTATTGTCGAAGTGGACCTTGGCCTAATAATTAGGCAGAGCGTATCATCTATTCAATTAACCCTTCATCATCTCAATCCTTTACATTCTAATTACGTTTTTTTATCTATTTAACTTCGCTTTTTATCTTCGCATTTTCGTTTTCTTTCGTTTTCGCTCGAAAGAATTATCGGGTCGTTTATATTAATTATGAAAAAAGCATTTTCATCTTTCTTACTTAAAATTACCGACACGACATTGTAGAAACTTTTTCCAATAAATTCATTAAGATTATTTCAGTTTTTCCGTAAAATAATCTTTACAAAATCCGTATAATTTAAAACATTTTCCTTTTCTGTAAAGATTTTTCAATAGAAATTCTATAACAAGAAAAGACAAAGAATTGGCGATCGTCCACACGATCGCCAATTCTTTGTCTTTTCTTGTCAATTCTTGTCTTTTCTTGTCTTTTCTTGCCAATTCTCAGTGTAGAAAGGGACGATTTGTAAGGAATTAGACCCGGAATTCGACCTACTTTGGACGAATACGCCATAGAGGGTCACCCGAATTTTCTTTGCAAGAAACGGAGCGGTGTCTTTTATTTTCCGGGTGGACTATATAATAATTTTCGAGCGATTAACGTGACGAGTGGCTCGTATGTGTTGATCGTCGGCCCGGAAAATTATCGAGACACAGAAAATTAACGCAGGACTTTTATTACAAATTCGCAAGTCTATATCGCTTCTCCTAGAAACAGAAACTTTCTATCAATATTTAATTAATGAAAGGATTTATCTAGATTCAGAAATGTCACTTAATTGTCGAGTCTATTTCGTACGATAACACGTGAAGTGTAGACGAAACACCTAAAACTAATGGTTAAAATCGTACTCGTAAAACGTTTACAGTGATATAAATTACCTCGTACACAACGCAACAACCAAAACAGAATAAGAGACTGATACCGAGTGACTCCTTAATTGTAACTGGAATAATTTATATATAGTATATCTTCTCTTTTTTTTTTCCATAGATAATAAAAAGTTTAATTCAATCTTTTAACCAAGTTCATTGATCATCGAAGGTAGCGAGACAAAAAGAAACATTAAAAGTGGAAAGGAACATTAACTATCCGGACAAAAGGTACTGTACAATATAATAGAGAATGTGGAAACGGTTGCTTCACACTTCCTCGATGAATACGTTCCTTTGTGATTTTTAAAGCGGATTTCTTAAAGAAAGAAATTGTTAAATACAAAAAAGAATAGTAAAGAAAAAAAAATGCGATAGTCATCGGGCGTGATGCACGAAAATTGCTCGGTTTACGGACAGAGAACAATTCTTTGTGACTATACAGAAAAAAAATAGAAATTATTTTCAAATTTTAAACGCGTTATAAGTAATTTTTCCTCGTTAATTTCATTAAAAAAATTGGGATTTTCTTTTCATTTCGAACAATTAATAATATGCATTCGTTTAGAAAATTGATGCTTGACGTATCGATTTAATTTTTCCCGAATATTTACCTCTTCGCAAGGGTCAAAATTCTCATTTCCTGTTTTCTCGCCTTTATTTTTCTTTTTATCCAATTTATCTACACTATTTGTAAAATTAATAACTTAATTTGAAAAATATTCTCTAATAATTAGAGTCAAATTTCGAGTTAAAAATACTTTATACATGGAGGGGGGAACTTCCAGAAGGACGTTACGATTTAGTTTAAGAGCTCGGAAGTTCTAACTTTCACATTCTGGCAGAGAAAAGGGAAACGAGGAGATTCTTTCGACATTCAAAACACGAAAGATTTCGGCTCGTTCTCGTTCCTCCGTCCCACTTTCGGTAAAAAGTCTTCTTTTTTTTTCTGTAGAAAAGGGAGGGTGTGGAGCGGAGACGTCGACGATCGCCGATGCGAGAAGCGACGACGATCATCGTTAAAAGACATCGTTGCGGTCTGATTGCCTCGAAGAACTATCTAAGGTCACTGGGTCGAAAGAGAAGCCGTCGTTACTAGTTACCGGAAACACGTCGGCGATGACCGGAAGTGTGGGGAAATTCTACTTAAATTAGCTTCGAAGATACGAAGAATCTGGGTGGATCGAGAGAACGTTCGTTTTGCCAGAGGTAACCGATGTGAACATAAATGGGTCAAGATACCGAGAAATTGTAGCTAACGAACAAAAGTTTTCGGCGTGGGGGTGGAAGTAGGAACGATTTTCCTCCTCATCGTCGCGCTTCTCGGGATTACCCGATACCGATAGTCTCCAAAAGACGATAAAATCTGAGTTTCAGGCATCACTTCGGGCGATGAATGACGTCGAAAGTTCCTAAAATCTCCGTTAACAAACAACTTTTCTACGTCGTCATTTTCGGAATTAATTAAATGATTAAATTTTCCAGCCAATCACAATCTCCGTTTGTTGTTATTAAAAAATTGTTTCTTTTCCCGAAAGATCCCTGAAAAAAAAGAACGTAAAATCGTAGATTTTTTCTTTAAAAAATCTCATAAAATTATCCTATCGTAAACGATAATGTAAAATGCAATTAAGTTCGTTAAATAGCCAGTTATTAAGTCGTCACGTTCCAGAGAGCAATTGGAAATTCATAGATTTTCCTCCTCTCTTCCTAATTGTAGAGCCACGTTAAAACGAGAAACGATCGTTTACCGATTCCAATAAGTCAAAATTACATTTTTGACTATTCTAGGAAGATCAATTGTTTCTATTCAAAAGATTAATACGGATAAATATCCGATTATTTCTCCTCCAGAGCAATAGTTAGACGAAAAGTATTATCAATTCACCTTTGCAATGTGGTTTAAGAGTGCAGTCACCGCCGGGTACACTAACGAGCAGTTACTCCATCCTTCTTCGAATTCAAAGAAATTAAACGGACCCACCCGATAAAAGGGCGTTCTTATATTAACAATTACGTTACTTTCCTGGTTACTTTCTATTATTTGGTTTGGTTCGAAAAACGGAGAATAGTAGAGAGGGGATGATGCGAATCGTCCGCTTCCAAGTTCGATTTCCTTCTCCAAAACAATTGCTGTATTTATTTGAATGAAAAAAAAGGTACAAGAAGGAAAACGTGCCTCTTCCTAAATCCATTTTTACCTCCTTCGACTCTACAGAAGCAAGCTTAAGAAGATGTATTGATAAATAAATAATGCATAATAAAGACATACAAATAATTAAATAACGATATAGTGCAATATCTTTGGAACTTTCTTTAGAGTTTTAAAAGAATACTAAATACGTAAATACGTAAATAGTTATGGTCACGTTCAAGCAAATTTAAATATATCTCTCAATAACACCACTTATCGGAAAAGTATTATTTTCACGTGTTGTTTTAGATACTAGGATCGCCTTTACACGTTTCTACACCAGTCGATTATTTATTTTTCTTTCTATTATAAAGTCGAAGGGAACAAACGGTACGACCTGTCCGTTATTTAATGTGGATAAAAGAAACGATCGGGCACAGTCTCTACTATCGCGCTCCGAGTCGAGCCCAGGGCGGATAATTCGTTGTTACGCGGCGCGTGGTAGCCACGTGATGCCAACCGACGTATATAAGTAGGTCGATCGAGCGTAGGGACGTCTATTCTTCGCTCGGATTAAACTATGAATTCCGCATCCATTTTGGTACGTAGACTCTTCCTTTTGTTCGTAAACGAATGATATTATTATTGTTTAGTATTAGAAACTTCGGGTGTCTTCTTCCATTCGATATATTGTTCTTCTTCCTAATTTATGCGAGAAACTCCTGTCATCGCGTTTAATTCTAATTTCCTGGTCTTTTAAAGAAGACTTTTCGATGCAATGTAATTTCTTGGAATCTGTATCATATTGTTTCCGAAGAATAGAAATGGTATGCACATGAATATGTATATGATTATAGAATTCCGCTTGTATCGTGTAAATTATATTCTGTGAGAGTTTAAAAGATGTTAGTATGAATATCGTTGATGACGATGATGATATACGCTACTGGTATACTCTGTAAACTTATATTATAATCGTAATTACAAAAAATAATTTAGAATTAATTCGCTAGTAACTCGACTTTTATGCATTTAACATTTACTCATTTACTGTAGTTAATAAGTTGGTCCAATTTTCTGATATTAATGACTGATCTTTTCAGATTCTACTCTTCGCTGTCGAATTCTCGACTCAAGAACTTCTTACCACTTTGAAGACTGCCACAGACCTCACTCCGGAGACTGTAGTAATCTACGAATTGCAACCCTCCTCGTCCGTTTACCCCGATCACCATCGATATCTGTACGCTGGCGACGGATACGGACATCATGGAGGTCACGGCCATGGTCACCGGCACCTCGAGGGACACGGTCAGGGTCACCGGCACCACGAAGGACACGGTCAGGGTCACCGGCACCACGAAGGACACGGTCAGGGTCACCGGCACCACGAAGGACACGGTCAGGGTCACCGGCACCACGAGGGACACGGCCAGAGTCACCAGCATCACGGTGGTCACGGCCAGGGTCATCGGCACCACGCGGTAAATCACGGAAAATGGCACAAAGAAGGGGGTCATCGACACGATGACGGAGGAGGACGCCACTTCGACAAGTACGGTCGGGCATCGGGAGGGCGTCACCACTCGGGTCACGACGTCCGCAGTTATCATGACAAGAAACACTGGGGAGGACACGGAGGAAAGAAGCAGAAGGCCGGAAGCCATTATTATCGAGACAAGGGCCACAAACGACACGGCTTCAAGAACGTGTACCACAAAGAAGAATACGCCGACCACAAATCTTACCACGATATCTTTCGAGACAAAGATTATCACAAAAAGTACAAAGACAACCACGGCCACTGGGATATGCACGGGGCTAAGTACCACAAGTTGCGCGACGCCAAAGACTATCACGATAAGAAACACTACGGAGACGAGTACCACAAGTACGGGCGCGAAAAGTACCACCGACACCGAGGAGACGGATACAAGAAGGGAGGAAAATACTACGACGAGAAGCACGGACACCGAGAACACCAGACGTCACACCACCGGGGAGGACACCACAAAGGAGGTCATCACAAAGGACACGGGACCAAACCCTACGGAGACAAATGGCACGCCGGTAGCGACAAAGTGTTCGCCTTCTCGCAAGGATTCGGCCAATTCGCCAGGGCCATCGAGGGCATGGGCAAAAAGCAATGAAGTAAACCCCGCCGTTTTCCAACTCTCTCCAACCGGTCGACTTCCGGCAGAATAATCGGAAGTAAAACGCGCGAAACCGGAAATGCCTTCCGCAAAACGGGCAAAATTATTGTACATAGGTAGGTCGAATAACCCAGTAATAATTATCGAAGCGGCACGTTTCGACGACCTCTCTCAGTTTATCTTAGTAATTGTACCAAATAGTTTTATTAAAGTTTTTTTATATTTAAGTTCGAATTGGTCCTGGAACTTTCTACCCGGAAGTAGCGAACATCCGGCAACTTCACCCCACACACGCGGAAATTAAAGACCGGAAAGACGAACGACTGGAATAACAAGGAATCGAAGATCCGAATCGACCGACCTTCGGTCGAAAAAAAATCCATAGAAACGTTTAGCGAGGTAACGAGGAACCACCGAAACCGTTCGACATTAAGTAGAGCGAAGCGCGGCCGTCACGATTTTATTGTGTTTTTTATTTCAACCTTGTAAACATCGAGGACGATAAGACGGTTCGAAAAAATCCTAGTCGTAACGGGTCTCTCTATAAACACAATAAATACTGAAAAGCAATTTTACACCGCGTTAAATGCATTTTTCCTTCGTTTGTTCGTGTTAAACGTCGCTAAACAGTTCGTGTATCCCCGAGAGAATGTCACCACAGTTATGTCAGACAAATGGAAAATATCTATTATTACGGCGTGAATAAACATACAAAAAAGCGGGTCGATGGCGTCAGAAACGTATATTACGTGTAGAATTAAGAAGGAAAACGACAGAATCATATTCTAAAATTGGTATTTAGAAATCCATTTTACCTCATAATAAACTTAGATTTAGGTTCGAGATAGTTTCGAATCGTTTCGTCGGAAACGTTTTAATCGATTTTAGCGACGTTCCCGCATTCGTCGTCTTAGACAATTAAACGATTTGTGCACTTAATTTGCCGCATTAATTAAAGCAGATAATAAATGGACGTCGACGAATAAGTGGTTAATCACGTCTACTCGACACGCCGAGTGCTCTTCGAGAGCGATAAAGACAGGATCTAAGTATTTATGATGGGATGATTTTCTTCAAAAACATCACGTTTCTATTCAACAGATATTTTTGGAAAGTATTTAAATCCTTCATTAACTTAAACGTGTTTAGTTTAATGGAGAATTGTCGAAATACTTATCGCAGTGAAGTTAATGGAAAATTTCGAAGGAATGAAATACAATTGGTTCAATTCCATCGCAAGTTAAAGAAGGGACACACAAACATTTGGTTAAAAAAAATGTCCGATGCAATAACATTACCTTTCCTTGCAGTCAGTAAAAAATGAAACAAAACGCCTGTAGAAATAGAGCAAAATCATAACGAGAATGGAAACAATACGAGTAACTTTATTCCTAACTTCCCTGATTAGGTTATCATCGTTATTCGCATCTCGCAAGAAGTTTTCCTGTTGACTATAGGCTATATGTGTATAAACATACGTTCATTAAACCGAAAAATCACGACACTTCTCGATAAACTCTACTGTGCTTATTGGGAATACAATAGAAGGGTGTAATACAAAATTAATTTATCGACAGATCATTTGGATGCAGTTTCCTCCATTGTAAAAGCATTGACGATTAATTAAAGATTTCGTTTTAGTTTCACAGTTATGTAACTTGTGTTTTTGTGGATGGTAATTAATTATATAGAGAATAGAATTTATAATTTGTCCTGGCAAATGATACCTTTCTTTACAATACAATTAGATTTACAATATACTGTATTAGAGATATAACACAATGTACTGGCGATTATTATTATTTTATTTGGCATGCCTACTGTTTTCCTCATTGTTAAGAATATATTTATTGTTTATATTTAAAAAAGTGTAATAAAACTAATAAAAAGTAAAAAGTAATTTCATTTATAACTTATAAAAAGTTTAAAACACATTAATAATTATTCAATTATCTGAAAGTATAATAATTAATATTCATTTAATTTTTAAACAGTTTGATTTTATACATTTTATATAATCAAATATAAAATTATTAAAGAATTACATATAAAACAAAAATATTTACAGATATATGTTTTCATTTACAATATAAAAATATTAATTTGTCAAGAATGAAACTTATTTGAGGAATTGAATAGTTTGTAAAATAATTAGTTATTTCATAATCTGCTTTAAAAAGTCAAAAAACTTAATGAAATAAGTGGTAAAAATTAAGAAGTTTTAGCAACTTTGTCACATCATATAGCTAGATTATTCTGGTCAAAGTACTATTGCTTAAATAATTAATAATTACATTAATATAAATAATAATATATGTGTAATCTTGAGACATAAATTATTTCGTAATAAAGATTAATTTATAATTAAATTTTGAACCAGTAGAAATAATTAATTCTATGGGTTCGTACTTATGTTCCACAAATATATTTTTAACATTCGAAACAATTTATTATAGAAATTTAAATTTATTCTATAATAATTTCGAATGTTAATATCATATATATTTAAATTTTACATATACTGTATCGCAACGACAAAATACAATACGCAATGATATTCCTCAATTAAAAAAATTAATTTTCTTCTACAAAATTACAGTTCATGATTTCTGATAAATCTGTTTCCTTCAGAATTTTTTCCAGTATAATGATGTTTTACAGTTCCAAACATTCCTGTAAATAATAAAAAAAAAACACAAATTTATTGTTAATATAATAAGATTAAACAAAATGTTATATTACTATGTTATTATTAGTTTTTCTTATTTTATTAGTATTAGTTTATAATCATATTCTATACATCTATCTATTCTTAGATCTTTACCATCTGTGATGAGTAGCATAAAAATGTTTTACCACTCTTTTCTACTAGTCGTATGGCTAGAGTTGTAAATAGTTTTTCAAGCAACTTCCTTCTGAACTGTCATGAGTTACCATTGTTTCAACAAGTTAACCTTTTTATTGTATAATGTTATAGCTATTAGTAAGTTTATTTACAAATAGTTTAATTTTTGTCTGATCTTTTAATTTTTCTTTCTATTTACCTTATGCTAATTATTTGTAGACAATTTGGTTCAAAGGCTTGCAAGTCTTTTAATTTCTTTATTTCAAATAAGTCATATTTGAGATTATAATAGTTTTATCAATTTTATTTTTGTTTTGTTTCTTTTAAATATTTGTTTAATCTGTTTATAGATGATGTTCACAGGCTCTATTAACTATTTGTTTTATTATTTCAAGGAAGTTAAGATCACTTGTGATTAATGTGTCTAGGCAAATTTTTTTTCGCTTACTGTAAGTTTGCAACTGAAAATGAAATCTATTACTTCTTGATTTTTTTTTCCAATAAACATTGCATCAGTTTTATTGGTATTTTATTGTCGTCTCATATTTCATTACTTTCCTTTAATTCGATGATCGAATTCTTTTTATCTTCTTTTGTTTGTAGCTGAGAGAACAATGTTGTCTACAAATTTTCTATAGTTTAAATGATGCATGTTTAATTTTATTCTATATTTTTCCAAAGTTTCTGTAGCTATTTTATATCTGTGAAGGTTGAAAAAATAGAATAAGACACAAAGATTCTTGGATGATAGTCTGTTTATTCATTTTATTATAATGTTTTCTGTAAAATTTTTCTTTTTGTAATATTTTCTGAATAAAATTTTGACTCTTTTGTTCAATAATTTTTTCTGTACTATTTCAATCAAATTATCTCTGTTAGTGAAATAAAATGCTTATTTTAAATCCATAAAGTAAAAAACACATTTTGACCATATTCCAAGGAATATTTAGGATTATAAAAATTGTTGAATGGCATTGTTTAAATCAAGGTTTACTCAATTTCTAATAATGCTGTTTAATTCTATTTATGATAAAACTATTCAATTTGTTAAAGGATAAGAAATCCTCAAGAGAAACTCAATTAATTTTCAAAGCACTGCAACAACAAGAAAAAAATTTTGCACTTCACGAATGTTTTTGCCTTGCTTCAGATGAATGTTGCCTTTCATTGACAGAACACAAAATTAAAATTGAAAATTCAATTGTTTGTATCAAGCAAATCATATCACTATCTGTTGAGAATGAAATGGATTTAAAACAAATGGAAGGCATTGGAGTGTCTGCCTAAATATTATGAAAAATGAAACAAATGCCATGCATCAATCTGCGCATGTGGAAGAGATCCTATGTTAACTAAATACTTATAGTGCCGGTTTGTAAAGCCCTGCCAACAGAAAATGTTCCTCTGTTTGATTGATACATGTAGTGTTTAAACTTGCTTTAAAAATTTATAAAGCTTCTAAATACTGAAGCCGGTTAATGCATTGTCATTTAACATAGTGTGAAGTGTTCTTTCTTGTCTCAATCAATTACATTAGCATAATCAAATATTCTTAATATAATAATTTGTTAACATTCTTATATATGTTTCATATGACAACGATTATGACTGGATTCTTAAAATATTGTAAAATAAACAGAAATGCTTATTAACCTGCAAGACAACTTTGTAAGCAAATACTGTACTAAATGTTTTCCAATTATCAATACCAAATGAAGGTAATATAACTTAATGTCTTTACTTTTATATAATGACAATAAATGTAAATGAATGCAAAACTTTCAAAATAAATGTTATCTATTTTAATAAAAACTATTACCTCTGTGTGTTCCTTCTTTAGGTTGACTTGGAGGTAACGGATTATAAAATAGTGCATCAATTGTATCATCATCATCACTCATTTCTAGCTGTAATAATAATATAGTTAAAAATTTAATTACTAAATATTTAATAAATATTGCATTTAATTCTTTTACCTCCAAATATTAAAACTGTAAATATAACTACATCTTAAATCAGGTGAAAAATCTGAAAAATCATATATTAGATTTGTAAGAAATTTTGAAAGGATTTTTCTAGTATTACTATACTTTTCTCTTATTACATTATTATCCTTGTTTTTAATTGTTCACATGAATTTTAATTTTAAAAAGAACTACTGATTCTGATGATATGAAAAATTTATTTTCTAAAATACTGAACAATTCTAAAATATTTTGACACTCAAAGAAAAACCATTTGTTTTATTTATAATGAGAAATAATGTTTTCAAACTTTAAAATTATCTTTCACATATATATATATTAAATTCAGAAAAATTACTTCTCACTAAAATTTTATATATAGCAATTCTCCTTATAATACAAATACTTTAAAAAAAATGGAAGTATAATTTTAATGCAGTAAAATGCTAAATGGAACAGCAAACAATAATTTAAATAATCAATTAAAACAATTAAAAAGTTATATTACATTTACATTTTTATCTAAACAATTTATAATTTTTCATGACAAGACTAAGATGTTAATAAACATTCAAGTAATCCTGAAGTGTTTATTAGCATTTTTCACTTTCTTGTTGTCTAAGGAATTTTGCTTTACTAAAAAATAATCTTTTTAGTCACTTTACATCAATTTTCATAATTTCGTACTGTAATTCTCAGATGGTTTATGACAGACAGACTCATACCAAACATCACATTTTATATAACAGCATACATGATAACATGAGCAACCCAGGATATTTTCAATTAAAAATTGAATTTTGACTATTTACAAAAAATTTTTTTATAATTTTTCGAGTCTATCTTTCATCCTTTTAACACATAGATAGACTCGAAAAATTATAAAAAAATTTTTTGTAAATAGTCAAAATTCAATTTTTAATTGAAAATATCCTGGGTTGCTCATGTTATCATGTATGCTGTTATGCAAATGAACTTTATGATTACCCAAAATTACCACCAGGAGGCCTGAACTAGTTATATATTGTGCTAAAGAACATGGTAGTTATGGTCAGAAATAGTAACCATTGTTTTAATGTTAAAAAACGCCGAATCCTCAAACAAAAGGTCGGCGTTTCGATCGTTTTTAACTTTGTGTGTGTTTCGTTATAATTTATCACGTGTTCTGTGGAAGTTCATCCAAGCCAATATACTGTTACTTCTGTGGTGTGTTAAAAGGATGAAAGATAGACTCGAAAAATTATAAAAAAATTTTATTGTAAATAGTCAAAATTCAATTTTTAATCACATTTTATGTCCGGCTCGGTGGTGTTTGTGCGAGTCCATCTATTGTAAACAGCTTGAGATAGTTTCGACATTGTTTTGAATCATCAAACGAGACAAAGGCAGCATCACGGGAGACATTATGAATGGTTGCAAAAATCGGCTTACAGCAATGTTTTGGAAGCTGTATGTTGGAAAAAATGTATCACCACCAAAGGAAATTAGTTGGTAGGTGATTGTTCATCAGTATTTTAAACTATTCAAGGCAAGGAGCTATATGTTTAGTCTCCAAACTTTTGGATCCTGCTACATATGTGAGGTCTATTCTTATAAGCAAAGCAGGACATGTGTTTCAAAAATACAAAAAAGAAGCAATTTTCACATATAAGAATATGCTCTTCTATGTGTGAAAATGCAATATTCTTTCTTTTATATTAGCGTAAATATATCTAAACAATACACTTCTACAAACAGTAAAAGAAGTAAACTTTCTGGGAGTCACTTTTGATTGGAACACAACATTTAAAGTACATTTTTCTAGAATTAATAACAAAGCAAAGCAGGCTATTGATAACCTATTGCTTTTATGTTCAACTCTGGAAACCTCAAACTTATATATTCATATGAAACTCTATAACTCAATAATCAATCTTATCATTTACTATGCAAGTCCAATCTGGGGCCTAGATTATCTATACAAACTTAAACGTCTCCACATCTACTTCCTCCATAAACTACTTCATTTAGAAAGGTCAGTTCCTGGTTATGCTATATGCCACGAAACTAATCGTATTTGGTCCTTTCCTTTTTTCTTAAAATGAATAATTAAATTCTACTACTGACTGAAATTTAAAAGTGATAACAATATAACTTTTTTACGTCAGGAAATAATTAAACAAAGCAAAAATTTAAAAACCGAGCAGTTTTGGCAAAACAAGTTCTATAGAATCTTGAATGCATTTGGAGTATTAGAGTTATTATTTAAAGATAATCTTCAAGATTGGAAGTATGATTATCTCAAATCCATAAATAAAGACCAAACTAACTTAAGTCAAAGCAATTATCATCCTTGGTATATAAATTTATTACAAATACCATCTTCTTAACCGTACATATCTAAATCAATAAACCTCAATGTGAAAAGATTAATAGCCCAATTATGTCTCAACAAATATTCACTTTTTATTAATAATACTTATATTAACTTTTCAAACACTCAATGTTTTTAGTGTAAATCTGAAGCTTTCTCGATGTGCCATTTACTTAAAAACTGTCAAGGCCTTGCAAGCATGCACGATTCACATGACATTAAATGGATACTCAACTGTAGTTCACCTCTCAAATTCAGAAAGAACTTAAACAATCTCAATAAAAAAGATCTTTACAAACTATATAACTACTTCATCAAGATTGTAGGAACATTAAAGAAGTAAGGAAACTCAACATATACTAATACTCTACAAAAGTTAACTGTTTCTGCATTGTCGCTTTTGTTAAAACCATTATCTTTGCTTATGTTTTTAATGGGTTTTTATGGAATCTATTGTAAAATAATTGTATGGGTTTGATAGCTTGAAAGTGGTTTCAATATTTTTTGTAAATTACTATTGTCAATCATTATCTAGCATTATGTTCTATCCCCTGCAACAGGGAAACTCTTCCCTTCTGTTAATAAAGATTAATTGATTGATAATTATAGTAATTATTATAAATATTATAATAAATTTTGTGAAATATTAGCATAAATATGGTCATTTGATTAGTACATTCTGATAAAGATGATTGAACTGAATACAGTTGACATCCCTATAACACTGTTGATTATTCCATTTTATATGAATTCCATGTTGTATGAGTCACTTAGATTTTACAAATACATGAGCCATTCACAGCCCGGCACACGTATTTGTAAAATCTAAGTGACTCATACAACATGGAATTCATTTAAAATGGAATAATCAACAGTGTTATAGGGGGTTGACTGTACATTATTGATTATTAAACTGCTTATGATTTACATAAAATTAATTGTAAGTAAATATTTTCTTTATGAATATATTCAAAACTTAATTCAAAGTTTGTAGATTTTCTAATATTTTTGTCTTTTCCAAGTTATAAAAAAATTTTTTTAAATTTTGTTATAAGAATTGAAATGCTAATCTCTAAATTATTAAATGAAAATGCCATTTATTATTTTCTTCATATAACCTTCCAAATTGAAAAACTTTTCAAACTCTTGACATTTCACAGCTGATTTCTATGCAGTTGTTAGATGTCAAGAGACATGATATTGTTTGACATGTCAAATTTGTAGATAAAAGGATATCGACCCATAATTCATAAAATAGCTTATATATTTTATATCATTTAAGACTATTTGATAGTTATTCTAATAAGATTTCATAAATTACCTATTTATGAAATCTCTATTAATACATTTGAGAAATATAAATCAATAAATTAAATAATTTACTTTATGATCATTAGTTAAATATTTAAATATAAAAATAATACATAAATTTCTCTGTTTTTGGTATAGCACAACGAATTGTCTATTGTAATATGAGATCTTAACAACTGAAATTTCTGTTGTTAAAACTGTGAAAATATTTCACAATAATCCTCAAAACAGTGCAATAACAATTCTTCTTGGATGTGATTGAATAACATCCAAGAAGAAACAATTAATTAAGGAGCTAATATTGGTTCCTTAATTAATTAATGGTTTATTCTTGGATAATATTGGTTATTTCATGATATTCTTGCAATCTTTCAATTACAAAAATAGTGCAAGTTACTGTCAAGTCAGCATTGATACAGGGACTCTGATGGCATCTAGGAACCCAGAGTAGTCTTAGGATTACAATGAACCAGAAGTATCAGGTAGTGGTCTCAAGCAGAAATTGTTGCTCATAGTTGATCAGTACATATCTTGTTTTCAACATTTACAAAGCTTTGGAACCTTTGCCAGATGGCAAAACATCACTACTCCTCATGATTCAGGCAATATTGACAGACTTTGCTGACAAAATGTAAAGATTGTGAAGTCAAACAGAGTGATTGTGCTGATGGGGTCTCAGTACAGTACTGTGAAAGAAAAAAATTCAAAAATGCAAATGCATTAGCAATCTTGTGAGCAAACACACTTATGATAAAACTATATGAGAGATCTTCCAAACTTTTTACAGAATGGATACTTTATAACAACTGGTGCTGTGTTGGCAGAGGAAGTTTAGAGAATAGGATGTCCTCTAACAAACCATATACAGTAAAACCTTGATCTATCATTTTTGGTGAGACTTGGGGGAGAAAACAACTGATAGGAAATTTATGATGTCAATGTTTTTATTGTTTATCTCATAGGAAACATATATTTTCCAGTGATGCACCTATATGATGGCTTTCTGTAATACTAAATGATATGGCACTTGCACGCAAACATGCATTTATTCTACATTTTAAAAAATTGTGAAGAATACTGAAATTTGTTCTATTTTCTTTTAGTAAGAATACCTAATGTATTGATATATCAGAGACAGCTGATCAGAAAAATTCAATATTGTGTAAAAATGCATTACTTATATGGTAAACAACAACAGTATAATGTGTGCATTTGCCATTACTAATAAATCTGAAGACCCTATGTTGGTATAGAAGATTATGTGGAAAAGTTTGTTTCTAATTTTTTGGATAACCAATTCAAAATACATTTTTGTATGCACAATCTTCATTTAAGTACATAATATGCTCGTAATTTATGATGACAACCATCTTAACTTCTGTTTTCAGTGCCCACTGCAGTGGATAACTTAAAGTGAAAATAGTTTAACTAGTTAAGCTATTATATTTGAACATATTTGGCTTATTTTACCAGAAAACACACCCAATATGTACAATAAAATAAAATACATTTAATTGCTATGTAAATAACCATAAGAATTATCCAGGAAAAGACAAAAATCTTTCTTTTGACATGATTATATTAAAGTACAGTACTGTATTTTATTACCCTATTAGATAAGTATAGTATAATAAGAGGAGGTATTTGGAAAATTGGTTTAGTTTCATACACAAAGTAATATTTGTGTATGAAACTTTTAACTTTGAATTTAACTTTTAAATATGGGGAGCTTTTATTATTTTAGTACACAAAATCAGTGTATCAATTTAGTGTCCTCTATTCTGGGTAGAACGATTGATGCTGGATAATATATTTCTTTCAGTTAAAATACAGAATGAACATTGCAGGAACAAAGAATATAGGAAAAATTAAATTATATATATATGGGTCCTTATTTGGGACTGGAGAAAACAACTGATAGATGCAGGAAAACTGTTGATATGGGAATGATAGATCAAGGTTTCACTGTAATAGTTGATGCCCATCTATTTCACTAAAAAGCAGACTGTGGGTAGTGAAAAAGTTTTTTGATGTGTGTATTATAACTAAGATGATTCTTCAAACTTTATAAATAGCTAAATTCAACTTTATTGAAGATTCAGTATAAAAATCTAACAAGTTCCAAATATTTTAAATTTTTTAGCTTATCGTCAGAGAACTTATCAGAAAAACAAAAGATCAAGGTTCAAAACATTCAAATCCATTCTAAAATCTGTTGCAAACTCTGTTTCATAGGTATGAGATTTTTTCCAGTTTGTTCTTTGTCTGAAGAAGATAAAGTTGTAATTTTGATGAAAATAATATTTTTGTCTTTGCTTTTAGTTGTTTTGAAACTTAACATCAAAAGAATTTATCTGTACTTTCAGTTTTATTAAATAACTTTCTTTAATGTATAAAGCTGAGAATTAAAAACCTGAGAATGTATTCAGATCTTTATGAATGGAATTGTACAGTAATTATAATTCTTTATTTGTACAACTTAAAAGTTTCTGTTATTAAATAATTCAGAAAAATTCTCATCAATAATATCGTGTCATTTAGGTAACCATAATGAAAATTCCTATTTCATATATATCAATATAATCTATGCTTTTGTATTCTGAACTTGGTAACATTTGCATCCCCTATTTTTGAATTAGGTATATTTATGAGCAATTTTTCTAAAATGTTCTGGAATTTTAAGGAATTAATGTGAGGAAAATGATATAGAACTATTTGAAGCAGATAAAAATATTTTAATCAATGTACAGAACTGTAATAAATCAGCTCTTTTCCTATATTTTTGTATATACCATAGAAATGAAAAAATTTAAAATCTTAGTAGATGTTTACAGTAGAAGCTCTATATTTGCACATTGTTTATTCAATGATTTCACACATTTGTGGTTCAATATTTGTAATGATTTTCATATTAATTAGCCCAAATTTAGTTATTTACAGAAAGATTTAAAAAAGAAATGAAACAATGGAAGAAGAGAAAATTAAATGATTTTTGATGTTAGCTTAAACACACTATTGCAAATCATGCTGTCAATCATTAAACTGCACTAGTAGATGCTATCTCTTAGTTTCTTGCATAATATTAAAATATGAAAATACAGAAATAGTAAACATCAGTTTTTAAATTAGTAAGTATTATAATCATAAACATTGTGTTTTATTTTTCAGATAGTTATGTTTTCTTTAATTGTTACAAATCAGCAATTTCATCTAAATGTAAAGATGTAAATGTCAAAAAGACCAAAGAAAATCATATCTTCCAAAGACAAAATTTAAGTACTGAATCATTTGCAGGGAGAAGATGCATCACCCATGGTTGTTCATGCTTTTGTCAAAAATTAATCTATCATAAAAAAAAAAGAAAGATTAGTGATAGCAATATTTCATCATAAAAAACATATTATTATTTTCTAATTGTATATTTTTTTCAATCCTCCAAGCTTATTTTTTCAATGTATTTCTCCTTTTTTTATTCATGCAAATTTTTTAGAATGTAACCCCTGCAAATATGGGGCTTCTACATAAGTTATTTGTATAGCAATAATGTGAAGTCAAAATATTGCTTAAATATAGAAATAATTTTAAATAAATAAATTTTGAAATCTACAAGAGTATAAAAATACAATTGTTGCAAAGACTTCATAATTGCATTTTTAATAAATCCTTTATTAGAAATAATTTACTGTAGTAGAAATAAACCAAAACTACATAATATCAAAAATATTTTTTACATACTCAGTGTTGAAGACAACATGCAGCATCCTACACTGCCTCACCCTATATGTTAAACAAACATAATATAATTTTAAGCAATTTATTATTGCTTATATTATATCATTTATGATATATTTCAAAAAATATATTTCATCCATTGGTTTTATATTAGTATTCTATATATTAATTTGTTATTTGTAAAGAAATGTGTTATGAATTATGATTATAAAAATTGTATTTTTGTTTAAAATGTTCTATAAATCTGTTAATTTTTGTGTTTCTTTATTGTAATTAAGTTTTATTTACAAATTTTATATATATTATTTTACTAAAATTAAATATTTTAAAACAATTTATCAGAAAATGTCTTATAAAACATTGTTTTTACAATTACAGGTGCTCTCCTAGTTACAAACAACTTGACTATACATCTAATGTTTAAATTTCTCATAGATTCTGAAATCTGTTACCATTCATAGGATGGCATTGAAGTCAGTCTTTGACCAGTGATAAATAATAAATTTTTAATAAATAATTAATGTGGGTTTATTTCAATTGTGTATTGTTATTTTTCCTTTTCATGTGAGTTGTGAAGTACCATTGAACTTGATACCTTTGGAGTAACAATGTTTTCCATTATTGTTTGCAATTTTAATCAACTTTTATGCTTAGTGCTTCAAAAATGCATCCAAAATGCAATTGTAAATCTAGCAGTGGAGATAAATGCAAGAAGTATCGTTCTTTTACTATGGAAACTAAACTGGAAAATATAAAACTAAATACATTAAGTGAAAAAAACCATGTTTGAAACATCTGCTACTAAGCAGTAGTGAGCAGGTAGAAAAGCATAATATATTCTACATTGAAGGATCAAACATTAACAATAAGTGATTATTCTGTGTACAAACGTACTGTCTAGGTTAGTTTTGACTTATGAACATTTCAACTTATGACAAAACCTCAGGAACCTAACCTGTTTGTAAGTAGGGACACATCTATAATGTATAGATGTTTGAGCACATTGGTAGGTAAATTGTTTTTATACTGCAATGAATGTGCTAATATGCAAATTTTAATTTCTATTTCAACAAGTATTTTAACTAATTTTTCTAGATATTTTACTTATATAGAAGAGCATCTTATCCTTAGAGGATAGTTATCAATATAATATGAAATTATAATTATTTTGTAATCAAGTTTAATTATGAAAACTTACTGAATTTTCTTTAGGTTTAATTACTTTCATGAATTGTCCTATTCTATTAGCTTCTTTTCTTTCATAATTTTTCACAGAAGTAGAATCTAAAAATTTCAACTTTGGCAATTTATATAATGTATAATACCTGAAAAATATTTTATTATTACTGATATCATTTAACAATTACAGAATAATAATTATTTATTAAAATTTATTTGATTATTAAAATTCATTAAATTCAATAACATATTAAAGTTATTTTATTTTTATAATCCAAGACCATAATATTTATTTCTCTGCCAACACAGTATTTATAGCCCAAGAGCTTCAACAGTCAGATGACTGAGGCAGTTAATGCACTTAACAGCCTCAACCATTTGCTCTCTGCAACTGCCATTGGCAAAGTGATCCTGAAGGACCCAGGATCATATCAAGACAAGCAACCCCAAGAATTTTTACGAGTTGTCTATCCCGGATATATCAGGTGCAGTCCAACATTGCCCAGCCACCACTATTGTGGGTCTGGTCAAATGTGTAATGGACATGAAAAAATAGCCCTCTGTGCTCACATGGCAGAAAGCGTAAAAAATAAAAATAAATAAACTACACTTTAGAAGTACTCAATCAGATGGATATATAGCATATTACATGGGTGGCCACACCTTGTATCACCTATCAGAAATATGTGAGAACCACAGATTTCATAGAGACCAAAGAATATCTTTTATTGAAGCGATATTTTATATCAAATAAAGTTAAAATACTATAGTTATCATTGCTCTATATAGCTATCAAAGTGCACTTACAACTGACTAAGTAATCATATATTTAACTCCTTTGACTTTACAAAAGTATGCTCAGCTTTCACTTGCCTGTTTAAGCCAGTAGTGATACAAATGCATAACATACTGTAAATGGTCAGTAAACTTACATATATGTGAGTAATATGTACCAAGTTTATAAAAAGAAATTGGACAGATGATCTGATAGTAAGGATCTAGAAGAGCTGTATGCAGCTTGTAAGCCAAATTTGACCACTGTGAACACATTATATATGGGTATTTTTAAATACAATTATCATTATTCTTGAGACTAATTTATACTGAGAATATGGTTGGATACTATTTTAACCAAACTTTTTACATTAAATATACATCTAAATAACAATTTGATAACACTAGCTATAGTTACAATTACTGTATATCAAATACATAAAATCTGAAATATTCTTACCCAAACAAAAACATCTGAGACATAAAAATTGTACCAAGTAAAAAATTATAGCAATTCAGATGACAATCAAATATTTTTCTTAAGAATTTTTCTTTGGTAAAGATAAGCTGGTGCAAGTGAAATGTAGAAAACAATAATACAGGGAAAAATCTTGTAGATATCAATTTGAAGTGCCAAGCCTATCTTTACCAAAGAAAAACCACTGAGAAAAATTTAACTGTTGTCTAAGTTGTCATAATTTTTTATTAGGTGCAATTTTTTTACAATTCAGATGTTTTCATTTGACTATCAATTGTTTTTTGGTTATGACTGTGTTATATTATCAAGACTTAAGAAAATAACATACATTTCAGTCATTGTCTTAGGTTTTGGTGACGGCCACCAGCTGAATGCTTTCAATATGTCGTTTAGTACAATTGTTATAAAAAGTTTTAATTGGCATAAATTTGAGCTTTTGTTATTTTGAATAAGATTTTCAAGAAAAATCATTTGTTTCAATGCAATTTTATCCCTTATAAGCATAAAATTAAGCAATAAAAGCGAAATAACTCTTTGGGAAACCACTATAAACTTTCACCTATTGACCTGGAAGTTTTGCAAGCATCTCATTAATAACAAGAGGGGCTAAGTTTAAAATTTGAACTTTCTAGACCCAGTATATTTTTCCTAGGAGCATCTGGAGTGCCAGAAGAACAGAAAAAAAGAACAAAATACAGATTTTGCAAATTTTTTGCTGTTTGTTATATTTCAGCAATCTATAAAAAAAATCAGAAATTTTGCATACTACCTAAGAATACAATTATTTTTTGAATGAGATATTCAGAATTACTCAGAGATATCAACCCCTGAAAATTGGCAAATCTGATTCTAGTCAGCCAGTGACTTTTTACTTGTCATGGAGTCATTGCCATGGCTCTTGATAAATTTTAAAAATAAATCATACAAGAGAAATGAATAAAATATTTTAAATCTTATTAATTTTTCTTTCAAAAATTAAAAAATTTGATAGCATTTAACATCAAAAATCTTATCTCACAAGTAATAAACCAAAGTATTATTCTTTTGTAATATTGTTATGTCAACTTGATAATGATTTAAAATAAATAAGTGTATTTTATTTTCTTGCATTTTATTCCTATTCCAAGAAGATAAATCTCTATCAAATAAATATGTATTATCTTTAATAGAGGAAAATTATAAGCTAAATCATTAGGTCAAGAATTATTTTACACTGTATTAAACTTATATCAATAAAAGTAATTCAGCTATAGAGCAATATTATGAACCTACACATTAATCTTTTCTTAGGTAGATGTAAAGCATCATTTATCTGAATCAATTGGGGACTGGGGTTGTTTGGATAACTTATTTTTCAGATAACCGATTATGTACGAAAAAATATATTAACCTATCCCGTGTTGAAATTTTTCTCCGTTGCACGTCACTTCGCATTGAATTTTCATTGATGTTAAGCCTAATGTAAATTTTTTAAAATAATAATCGTGGCTATTGTATCATTAAAAATTATTTCTTTATTTTGTACAAACAAAATAAATATATTGAAAAGTATAAAAACAAAAAACTTATAGTTTGGAAGTTAATCTAGTATCAAAAACATTCAATTCAGTACAACACAGTCCGACTGGAATGCTTTCGGTTAACCGACATTTCAATTGATTGGCTTTCAGATAAACGACGCTCTATTGTTTTAAAATTTATGAAATGTGAAATACTTAATTGATAAATAATATTTTATAAACATACAATTTTAAATATAAAATTATATGGTTTAATATATTTTTATACAACAGGATTTAAATAATTTTCAAAATTATTTATTTATTTAATCTAAAACAAAAGATATAAAAGAATCAGAAATATTTGTTTGAATGCAATCTTTTTTAAGATTTACCCAGACAAGTACAGTAGAGCATCGATTATCCGACCCCTGATTAACCGTCACATCGGTTAACCGACCGTTCTAGTCGGCAAATTTGAAATGTCCACTAGTGATGTGGTGCTACAATATTTGGCCATGTCTTGGCTATTTTAATATTATTTTTGTTAAATTTTTGCATGTTTTAGCTGGCAACACAGCTTGACCATGGAAGGAAGGCCAGTATTTAAACGAGACTTAATTTTCTAATTATGAGTGGTTGTTTGTTTTGTGAGCAATAAAATAATTTTTAATGATATAATAGCGACGATTATTATTTTTAAAAAATTTGTTAGGCTTAACATCTATGAAAATTCAACGCGAAGTTGATTAATAGTGATATACTAATATACTATACTAATAATGTATTTTTTTCATTCATTTCGGTTATCCGATTTTTTCAATTATCCGACCAATCCGAGTCCCCAATTGAGTCAGATAATCGATGCTCTACTGTATATAATATTTAAAATCAGAACTTGTTTATTGGCAGAGAGAAATAAGATTGAAAAAATTTGTGCCCTATCAAAAAATTAGAAAATAACAACATTACTTATATGTAACGACAAGACTATTTTATAACAACATTACGATTATTTCATAAACAAAATAAAGTATTTCTAAGCATGTGATATATTGAAATTTAAAAATGAAAAGAATTAAAATTAATTAATCAATTAGAATCATCACAGAAACAAAATAATCCTTCCCTATTTGAATTCAAAACTGAAACAGCAACAAGATTGGTAATTTATTGTCTATTACATTATAAATGTGACAATAAAAAATATAACTAATTTTGTCAGCAATAATTAATTCATAAACATCAGATATTAAATATATAAAGTAAGCAAGACAGTATCTTTATGACAATTATTAGGATCAAAAATAGCTACTGTATCATTTTACTACTTATCTTAATTTTATCAGGTTTGACGTATTAATGTTAAGTTATATAATCATTTTATTATATTGATAGTTTATGCCATCATACATAAATTATTCTATTCTTGAAATACTGAATCAATTTTATAGGAATTTTCATCTTTCGGAACTTTAAATCTTAAAATTATTAATTTTGAGAATTTGAATGAATACATAACTAATATTCTTATCATGAATTAATAAAATCTACAATTAATTTTAATTTTAAATATAGGTAATGCAATAATAATAATTCAAACATGTACAGTACTTACCTATACCTCTGATAATCATCATCATCCTTATCATTACTGGATAACTGATCTGGACATGCAGGATTTCCAAGAAAACTTAAATATGTTAAATTTGGATAATACTGATTTATACTGTCTAATAAACCATCTAAATCCTGAAACTATATTAAGACACTATAAAACAAATGATTTCAACTAAAACATTATTATTATTAATATAAAAATATTAAGTTATTAAGATTACATATACATGTATACAGGTTAACTATTTTCCATAATATAACTGCAAAATATATATCTGTTTATTTTTAGTTGTTGAAATGAGAAAATAAAATTATTTATGAAAAAATAAATTTTACTATATATTTCCTACATTTAAATTTAATCAGCAAATCCTTCAAAAAAGTTTAGAATAGTTTACTACAATCTAATTAAATTATATACAGTTAAAATTTTATAATAAAAATACATGAAATTTAGAATTACAGTAGAGCCTCGATTATCCAACTCAATTGGGGACTGGGGTTGGTCAGATAATTGAAAAGTCGGATAACCGAAAAGTATGAAAAAATCCATTATTAGTGTAGTATATTATTATATCCCATGTACAGTGGTACCTCAGGATACGAAATTAATCCGTTCCGAAACTGAGATCGTATCATGAAAATGTCGTAAGGTGGATCATCTTTTCCCATACGATTACATGTAAAACCAAATAATTCGTTCCAACGCGAAAAACATACTCAAATTAAAGCCAAGTAATACATT